CATCCTTTTTTTTTTCTTCAGAAAAGCTTATCAGGGATAGAAGGGGAAAGAATAGGGGGATTACGGATAATGGGGATAGAACTGTCCCGTAGATGGGGGCATATCCTTAACGCGGGCATCGAGGGAGAGATTAGCATTAAGGATATTACGGGAAGTGATTTGCCGACAGAGGGGGCCAGCATAGTGCCAGTTATCAAACCAGGCAGACATGGAAGTGTCATTACCTATCTGGGAGACAATACAAGTCTCTTATCTTATCCTGCATGCCCAAGATCTTTCTCCAGCCCTAACCAACATCGTTGATGCTCGTGATGTCCCAAAAATTACGATCTTTAAGCCTGTAGGAATGGATCCATTTAACCCCAAGAGAATCCTTGTTGGTAAGGATTCTCCACGTATGGGAAGTCATAAAGGCAAGATTCCAGTTGGTAAGACTCTTGATGCCACGTCCGCCTTGGGATTTAGGAAGGCATACGGTCTTCTAGGAGACCTTAGCTTTCTCTCTTTTCAGCTCATCATGGCACCAGAGGAAGCCCCACATGAGTTTCTCAATCTCCTTAGGGATGGACACAGGAAGAAAAAAGATCGAGGCCTAATAAATTTGCATCGAGGACAAGACCGAGAGAATGAGCTGGAGTCTACCAGCGAAAGATAGAGATTTATTTTTCCAATCATTCAACCTGGATTAGACCTTATCAACAAGACATTTGCAGTCATTGTGATATAAACGAGAAGTGATAAGGGGGACTCCAAGGTAGTGGACCGGGAGGGAACCCTGAGGAAACTGAATGATGGAGTGGATGGCAGTTTTGATGTGCTGACTGATGTTGCAGTAGAAGGGTTTACTTTTGGCCTGATTGGGATACTGGAAGATACCCTAGAGAACTCATCCAGCGAATCCTTTATGACACGAACAAAGTCACTATCACCATGGCAGAATATGAGGAGGTCATCAGCAAAGCAAATGTGAGAAAACTCTTGTTCCTCTCAATTCCGGTGATAGGAAAAAGTGTCCATCTCCATGATTTTTCTTTTGGTTATCAGGTTTAGGACCTCCATGAGGAGGTTACCAGAATGAAGTTGTAGAAGGATAGGGGATCACCCTGCCTCAGGCCTCGGCCTCCTTTGAAATAGCCATGTAAATTTCCATTGATACTGACCGAGTAGGAAACAATGGGAACACATGTCATAATCCAATCAATCATGGTCAGGGGGAAACCGTAATCGAAAATGGTAGTTCGGAGGTGATGGGAGCTAGATGTTGTATCTCTACAACACTAAGTGGTAACACATGCAAGTATACATGTGTCAACACTATCGCAATCAAGTAATAAAATGGCAAGAACCAAGTATCGTATTCCACAGGGATAGGTATCTTAAGTTGCAAGATCTCGAGTTGAAAAACTAAATTCAGATGGCGAATTTGAAGACTTTGATTTGTTACTGAGTTAATAAATGCAAATAACATAATAAAGAAAGGTAACATGAGTGTAAGACTTGTGGTGAGACTCAAACACAAATTCTAGTAGTCAATGCTGTAAGGATACTACAACAAGCAGTTAACCATAACTTAGTTTCACCATCTATTTTGAGGGTATTCCTCTCGGACTTTCACCATTGCACTATATTATAGCTTTCAACTCATATCTCTATGTGGTATCCGGACCAAGGATAGTGACGAATGGTGTCCTCAAAATATATGGATAATAAATCTCTTTGTTAAAAATCACTCTCTCGAGTCGATTCCATATCATTCAAGTTGACGTGTATTCTAAATAGTTAATCTCTGAATCTACCGCACTTTAACACTTTAACAAGTGACTAACCTCTCGATAATTAATTGTTTTAAAAGATATAAATGACAAGTCTCATGTCGGCAACTTTCTCAAGTCTACCTCTTATATCATTCAAGTTGGCGTGCATTCAATGACTTATCTCTAAGACCATAGTGATCAACTCGTCAAGAAGTGTCTTTGGTTGTTATAAAAACTTAAATGAAATAATGGAACATCGTTATTGCAAACAATAATTACTTTCTTGCGGTTTAAAATCTCATCATTTCGTCTCACACCCAAGCTATGAATTTAGCCACTCAAAACATAAAGTAAATGACAAATAAAATAAATAACGGAAAGTAAAGATATAAATATAAATTGCATAAAATGAATGACGTAATATAAATAGCGGAAAAATAAAAGAGCGAAAAGTAAATACGGAAGTTAAATGACGGAAAGTAAAGGACAATCTTAAAAACAATTAAGAAACTTAAATTTCTTCAAGGTTTAGTGAGAGAAACCAACTTAGGAGCTGATATTTGGGATGGATATAACAAGAGCCCAACCCCCCTATTTATACAAAAACAAGTCATAAAGTGACAAAATGGATAACCAAAGGGTAAAACCACAAAAAGGTAACTAGGAAGGACAACAATGAACTAGATAGTTACACCACTCCCAACAAAAGTTTACTAGATTTTTATACGAAAGTCAGCGGCCCATAGAATCTTCTAGAATCCACAAAAAGGCAGCAGCTTATCTATTAAGATCTTCAAAAAGCCATATAGGCATCAGCTCACTGCTGCTTCAATGCTGCAGCATCAAACAGTTTAGCAATTTTTTACATGACTCCATTTTTGTGTAGAAACAAGTCAACCACAAGATTTAGCTCCATAATAAATAAAAGAAAAAATAAAGTAATAAAAAGACTCAATATAGTGATAAAAAGAAAACAATCTAACTAAGAACTTGTAAAATAAGTGCTTTATATATTGATGTCTCAATATATATTAGAAGGAAATATCAATCAACGGTATCATAAGACTTTTGAATGTCAACTTTAAAGGCACGGTAGGGGAGAGACACCGTTGCTTATGATAGCCATGCATGAGCTCTTGAACAAGATAGACACCGTTGATTCTCATAGTTATCACAAAATGTGAGTTCCTCACATAAAAGCCCCTGTAAATAGAGAGTTTGTATTTGAAACTCCGTTGGAAGATCAAACGAGAACATGATTAAAATGAAAAAAAAAACATAAGAATAGTCAAATCATATGTAATTCTCCACTGAAATCTATGCAATTACGAAACACAATAAAAATAAGATGTGTGTGAACGACTTGACCCAAGTTAACAACCAATTACATGTGAATCTATATATGATTAAATATATAAATAATATGTGATTTAATTGAGGGTTCTTATGTTTTCTTATATACTTTTAATGACACTAAGTGTTTGAACTAAAACTAACAAGTGTAAATTATAAATTGAAGTATTTCTAAAAACATAGAAATAAAAACGGGTATATGTGTATGTTTAGCATGATTTTTGTACATACCGTTTCCCAAAAAAAAATTATAAATTTTGACCGTTTCATATCAAAATAATTGAGTGACAAGTATTTATAAATTATATAATCATATTTGACTTCAATAATTATTTTCATTTTAGAAATCTAATAGAGACGTAACATTTATATTCAACCCTTATATGATGCTGTAAGTTTGAAAAAATTCTATATTGTTGCATAAATGGGTAAAATTGAAGCGTTCTAATTTGTAAGTACTAGTTGTGTACCCGCGCAATGCAGCGGGATGTAAAATTCGAATAAATGTAAATGAAAAGTT